CTCCAAGCACAATGTCGAACATCTAGCTTTGGAAACCTCTTAAGATGCCCTCCTATATCCTCAACTTAAAACCTGTCACAATTCGCTTACTACCCACGTATATAGATGAGTATGCAATCGTTCGTACATGATTTTTTTTTCGTTCGTAAACGACAAATACAATGTATTGGATAATTGCTGCCAAGAACACAACACTCATCCGATGTACTATATATGTATGTATCTCTCTGTTTATGTTTGTATGTAAATGGATGACAGCTGTACGTATACAGCACGACGTATCTCTGAAATATATAGACTACTATTTTTAAAATTCAAACAAATTTTGAAATTGTTTTGTTTGTTTGTTTGTTATTTTTATTATCGTCATTACTGGCATGAAATGTCTCTCTCAGATGTGAGTGTGTCTGTGTCAATTTGTTCCGTTTGTTTGGTAATTTGTAAATGACCAGAATTGTTGTTGTTGTTTGGGCTGTTTTAATTTTAATGGCTTTCGATCAGGTGAACAGCGTTTCAGCGCTGCTGGCTGACTGGGAGGAAGTGAGGTGGTTGGACAGATGGGTGGGTTATGTCTGAGAGATGTGAAAGAAGGGGGTGTATTATTTTTAGTATGTCGCTCGTGACATTAAGCAATTGCAGCCGGCACATTTATTTCGCCACACATTACAATTCAGCTGTCGCTTGTCAGTCAAATGTTTCGAAGAAGTAAAGAATCAGGGATAAATTTGTTTTTTTTTTTTCACAAATTTATTTTCTCGGATTTGAAAAAGATGCTTCATTTATTTGCCAAAAACCTGTCTGGCAGATAGGTTCGACAATAAAAAGAGGAGGCAAATCCATTACCAGTTTCTTACATAACGACACGATATTGGTGAAAACGCCCATTTCTTGGTGCATTGGCATATCTAAAATAGAGGGTGGTGGCAGACACGTTGACGTCTTACAAATATGTCGATAAATCTGCAATTCCATATTTAATTGTTTGTGAAATTGAAGTTATAGTTTTGGCTGCCCCTAAATGGATTCAATTTGGCGCAGATTCATATTTCATAAGCGCTGTGGACAAACTTTTGGCTGACAAAATATGTTTTTTTTTTGTTTTTGTAAAATATTGTCATAGTAATTCCTTATTATATGGACGTCAATAAAAAAGTATAGAACATGGTCGAACAAATTAAGACCAAACAATATGTATGATAATGTATTAGTTAAGGCCTGATTACACATTATGTTAGAGTCATATGTAAAATGTTTTATTCGTATTTTATATTTTACATTTATATAGCATATTTTATGGAGCTCCCACCTAATTTTAAACTTGAAACTGTAGTGCATAAACTGCACTATTGAGCGTTTCTTTTTATACCCTCCATCATTCCGTTTGTAATACCTGGAAATATAAATTTAAGACCCCACAAAGTGTATATATTCTGTGGAAATCACTCTAAATTCCGCACGAAATGAAGTAGATTGATAAATTTTTTCTCAAATTTATATTATGTCTGCAGGACGTTTGGTATTTAAAATGGGCCATGTAGTTCCACGTTTTGATATAGCCGCTATATAACTGTATATGGCTGCTTAAGTCACAATTGTTACCCAAATTTGCTATAATTTGGCAGAATATGTACCATTTATGTAAGAAATTTTCTTGCATAGAACTGTCAATGTAAGTCGAAGTTTTGATATAGTCCCCATATAAATGTACTTCCAAATATTCGGTATGTTTCAAAATTGCAATTTAAAGTTCCTAATGGATACTACATCATATGACAGAAAATTGCACATATAGGTCCACGTCCACGCCCCCTCATATAGCGGTACCTCCCTACATTCGATATTTTGATGATTTTAGCGACATTATTCACCGGAATTGTTTCAAAATTCGTAGTGGGTACTACAGCCTATGACTGAAAATCGCCTGTAAAGCTTCTCGTCTCGTTCACAGAAAATTTCACATGCAGGTCCAGGTCTTTGTAAAGCACCCATACATTTTTGTACCCTAAATATTCGGTACTTCGATGATTTTAGCGACATTATTCATGGGCATTGTATCATGTTTCGTATTTGAAGTTCCTAATGGGCACTACCATCTGTGATAGAAAATTGTCTATGCAGGTCCACGTCTTTGTATATCCCCCATATAATGGCACCTCCCTACATACGGTATTTTGAGGATTTAATAGGCATTATTCACTGGAATTGCTTCAAATTTTGTATTTGAAGTTCCTAATGCAGGTCCACGTGTTTGTTGGCCTGACTTCTGTGAAGGTTGTTTTATATCACCTGGACAATTAGTTGTTGGGTGTCTTTTATTGTTCGACGCAATATGATTTCAGAACGTAAGAACAATGCGTTCGAAACATAGAAAGCCTTACCCTAAGTCTTTTTTGATTGGCTATCGTTTAAGAAGAAGAATTGTTATGCAGCTGATCCTCCCTGTGGTGGACTTCCCATTTCCTCATACTCAGCGCTTTTTTTGGAGTCCAACAAATTTAGGACCGCTTTAAAGAGTTAAAACAACTTTAATTTGGTACCTTCCTATGTAAATTACGTAAGTCGCCTTTCGATTGATCGATCAATCAATTAGCCGACTTCTGACAGTGAGTAAAATTGCAAAGTCGACTTAGTTAATCGAATTTCGATTTGTTGATCGTCTTTTCATTTTTGCACAAGTCAAACTGATCACAAAGATAGAGTTGTTTTTAGTTTTAATTATATTGGGTCCCTGAAGAGTCTAAAAATCTGTATCGACCTTTCGTCTTTAGTTTTTGGGGACTTTGCAATGGGTTGGTTCAGATTTAGCTATAGCTTCCATATATATGTTTCATCCGATTTGGTTAAGTCCCCCACATTCGTAAAATGCATTCGACAACAATGATATTTGATATCAGATATCTTATAGATCTCGGAAATACCTTAACATTTGGATATAGCTCTCATATATATCCTTAATCCGGTTTCAGGATTATTGTGCAAATAATGGCTAATATCGGCCCATATGGAGTGAATTTCGGGACGTACGTTCGTATTTTGTGGAACTCGGCTCCGATACAAATTTTTATACCCTCCACCATAGTATGGAGGGTATATTAAGTTTGTCATTCCGTTTGTAACACCTCGAAATATACATTTTAGACCCCACAAAGTATATATATTTTTGATCAGCATAAAATTATATGCCGATTTAGCAGTGTCCGTCTGTGGGAATCACTCTAGCTTCCGAACGAAATGAAGTAGGTTGATAAAATTTTACTCAAATGTGTATTATGTCTGCAGGACTTTTGGTATTGAAAATTGGTCATGTAGGTCCACGTCTTCATGTAGCCCCCATATAGATTTTAGCGACATTATTTACCGGAATTTTTTCAAATTTCGCATTTGAATTTCGTAATGGATACTACAGCCTATGCCAGAAAATTGTCTGTGCAGGTCCACGTTTTATAACCCCCATGGTACCTTCCTATATTCGGTATTTTGATGATTTTAGCTACATTATAAACAGATTTTTTTTCAAGTTTCGCATTTGAATATTGTAATAGCTTGTGACAAAAGTTGCCTATGCAGGTCCATGTCGTCTTATAGAACCTAATATACGGCTACATTCGGTATTGTTAAGATTTTAACGGATTTTATTTTTTTTAAATTGCCAAATTTGTACCAAATGGCGGAGGGTATTCAAAGTTCGGCCCGGCTTTTTTACTTGTTTAATATATTCCTTACCGAAGTGATATCGTGCACTCTATGGCAATGTTATTTGGTATAAAAGATTAAAATGTCTCCGTCAAATTTAGTAAAAATCGATTCAGAATTGTATATGCTTACCATATACATATTAGTTCCCTCTTAACCAAATGTTGTTGGTATGAACTACTTCAAATAAATTATTTTGTTTCGGGAGCTCTACGAAATATGCATTGTGGTGCAGGGTATCATATAGTCGGCCCGCCCGGCTTTTAACTTTTCCTTACTGGTTTCTTTATGAAACAGAGCAATTGTTTGTAGAAACATTTTCTATATTCTATATAAAAACTCTATATTCATAAACCCCCCTCTGAATGTGAAACCACCAACAAATGTTGCTTGTATGGGAGTATTTTTTTATTCTATGAAAACCAACAAACATACATGTCTATGTATGATTTTAACAATTTATCAATTGACTTCATTTGCATTTTTAAGTGTCAGTTGATCAACATAATTTGTATTAATTTATTCATTTCTGCCCTTAATTGATTTTCTTTTATAATTATTAACTTTTCATTTTCGTTCTGTTTAATATGAGTTTTCTTTTAAAAAAACAAAAATATTAAAATTGGTTTAATGTGTGAACCTGTGTGAACGATTGAATAAAAAATATGTATTTTTTTTTCAATAAATAACTATTCAAAATTGTAATTTTTTCTTTTCCAAAAAAAACACAAATCCTTCTCTTTTCTTCTTCTGCTTGCTCGTATTTCATCCCTTGTAAACAAAACGAAAATGCTATTACGTAAAACGCAAATTGAAATGAATTTTGAAATTGAAATATTGTATAGCTTATGAAAGTGGCAAATACAATACTGGGAGAAAAATTGTTTACAGCTCTGATGAAGGCAACATTCTATGGACACTTTGTTGCTGGCGAAGATCAAATCAAAATCATACCAACACTCGAAAGGTAATTTTAAAAGCTTTTACAGAAACTGATTAACGCTTTTTTTCTATCTTTTCTTCTTTTTTATTTTATATTTTTTGATGCTCGGGATAATGTTTTGTTTTTGAAAACCTGGGGCTGATTTATCAACATCTACTCCATTTCCAATGCTTTTGATATTTTGGATTCTATTTATTTATTGATTTGACCCCGCCCGCTTATGCCATTACAATACATACGCGTCCACATACACAAACACACGTACAAACATCTATCTACTATGTCCTGCAACATCAATTGCACTTTTGCGGGGGCAATGACATGTCATTGCTGCTGTTGTTGTCGTTGTCAATTTGAACCACAGTTGATGAAACTTGCCAAAACTGTCCTGGGTGGCACTCTCTTCGACCTTTTAATGAAGTCCTCATTCTATGGCCATTTCGTCGCTGGCGAGGATCGTCATAAAATTGTGCCAACACTTGAGAGGTTTTTTTCTTTTCTTCCTTATATTGATTTTTATTTACATTACCATATGTTTTGTAAATGTCCATTTGCATATACATCTATGTGACCTACTCCCCCATGCATGCTGTGAAGTTTTTTTTTTCGATTTAAGCTGTCAATTTGGAAGAGAAGATGGGTAAATTTGAAAAAAAAATGTATCAAATAGTTGAGTATCACGTAATCTTGATGTTGACAATTAATTCACGGAAGATAGTTGAAATTTTCTAAATTCGGAACACATTTTGTTGCAGATTTTTTTAGAATTACCTTCTGATGATCAAAAACGACTATAAATTTGGATTCAACTTACAATGTACCTACAACAGAGGTGGAAACCTTTTTGTAAGGAGGATTAATACCACCTGAAAACCAAAATATGAACGTGACCATTTTGATGCCCCAAACTCTTCATGAGATTTTCAAGACTCCTTATTATACAGGCAAAATGAACGAAAGATCGATTTGTCATTTTCTACTCATTTTAATTTGATTTCGTTCGACTTCTTTCAAATAACTGGACAGAGTTATTGAGAAATGTTACATATTGAAATGTTCATAGAAAGCTTTGTGACATATCATACATAGGAGCCCCCATATAAGTGTAAGACGCCGAATTTATTGCCCAGAACACCATTTGCCGTCTGAGTTCTGTGAAGGACAATTAGTTGTTGGGTATCTTTTATTGTTCAACGCAGTATGATTTCAACATTAATTTTTTTTTGACATGAACGTAAGAACAATGCGTTCGAAACATAGAAAGCTGTACCCTAAGTCTTTGTCTGATCGTTTAAGAAGAGTTGCCATGCAGCTGATCCTCCCTGGGGTGGACCTCCCATCTTCTCATGTTCGACGCGTTATTTTGGAGGCCAACAAACTTTGAACAGCTTTAAAGATTTAGAACAGCTTTAATTTGGTACCGTCCTATGTAAGATACGTAAGTCGTCCTTCGATTGATCCATCAATCAATTGGTAACTTTTGATAGTGGGAAAACATGCAAAGTCGTCTAAGGTTAATCGAATTTCGATTGTTTATAGTTTTAATTATCTTGGGTCTCTGAAAAGATTAAAAATCTATATCGACTTTTCGTAATCGATTTTAGTTTCCGTTTCGGACAGTTTGTGTCTTTAGTTTTTTGGTGGACTTTGCAATGCGTTCATTTGCTTCTTCAGCCATCGTGTTGACCTCCTCATTGTTAGGGACTGCTAGGTGATTATGCTACCCAATTTTAAATAGACACCCCTTGATTTAAAAGAGAGTAGCATGACCTCGGTATGTTTTCGTTCGGGGACTGACAATGTGTTTCAACAAATTACGCAATTTTTTCTAGCGTCCACCATTTTATGGAGGGTAACTCCTCGAAATATTCATAATGGACCCTACAAAGTATATATATTCTGGATCACAGTAAAATTTTGAAGACAATCTAGCGTTGTCCGTCTGTCTTGTTGTAATCACATTTTCTTTCGAGCGAATTGAGATAGAAGGCTAAAATTTTGCATACATGCATAGTTTACCAGTATGCAGGGTAAGTTCGAAAACGGGCCATGTCGGTCCACGTTCTCGTATAGCCTCCATATAACGGTACCTCCCGATATTCGGTATTTTCATGATTATTTTAAATTTCATATTTAAAGTTCGCAATGGCTAATACAGCCTATGACATCATTTTTTGTATGCAGGTCCGCGACTTCGTTTAGCCCCCATATAACGGTACCCCCCGATATTGGGTATTTTGATGATTTCATCAACATTATTCGCCTGATTCGTTTCAAATTTCGAACTGGAATATTTTAATGGGTACTACAACATATGGCAAACAATTTCGTATGCAGGTCCACGTCTTCGTGTAGCCCCGATATGACTGTACCTCCCGATACTCGGTATTTTCAAGATTTTTCCGACTTTATTCACTGTAGTTGTAACAAATTTCGTATTTGAAGTTCGTAATGAATACTAGAGCCTATGACAGAAAATTGTTTGTGCAGGTCCACGTCTTCGTATAGTCCCAATAAACGATTTTAGCTACATTATTAACCGATTTTTTTATTCAAGTTTCGCACTTGAATATTGTAATGGTTTATGATAAAAGTTGCCTATGAAGGTCCACGTCGTCGTATAGACCCTCATATATCGGCTACATTCGGTATATTTAAGATTTTAACAGAATTTTTAGCGGATTTATTTTTTTTGATAATAAAATCGTTCCAAAATGGTGGAGGGTATTAAACTTACCGAACTTACCGCTTCCTCACTTGCTAAAACTTAAAAGTTTCACAAACTTTGAGTACTTCTAATTTTGGTTTACCACTTTAGCTTCTATCCAGCTAGTCTTAAATCTTTAACCCATCCGCTGTTTAGACTCTTGCTTTAGATTTTTTCATGATGAAAATACATATGACTGAAGGTTGTATCTCATGGTACCGTGGTAGGAATTGAGTTAATCGGCGCTCTAAACTTGATTTTAACAAAAAAAAAAAAAAAAAAAAATATGACTGGTGGTGGTACCGTCGCAGCAATTGAGATATGTTATTCTTAGCCACCGTGTTAGGGCGAAGATCAATGTCTATTCGAAGGGTAAAGTGAACTTACTATAATATTTTTTCATTTTCAAAATCTCTTTTATACATTGTTCTTTCGAGTGAATAATATACTCGCCAAGGGCTAAAAGCACCAAGGAATATTCCACAAAATTGCTGACCACCTGATGACAATCAAATCTCTCCTAAATTAAATCACACAATGGTTATCATCCCTATCTTCTACACTTCCAAATTGCAGCATTATATTCTAAATTAACTATCCAAAGTTTATCTACAAACTTCAAAAATTCTATTATTCGGACAACAAACAATCAAATTCAATTATTTTCAGAATGAAAAAAAAAATTGGCAAACAAATTTGACTTGAATTGGTGAACTGTTGGTGGCGTTATTTTCCACAAAATTTCAAAACTTTTTGTGTGTGGATCCATAAATTCAAATTGAATTTGATCAAAATTTAAACGATTCATCAGCAACACTCTCCACATTCTTCTTCTTCTTCCATTCTTTCCGTTGTGTGCGTCAATCAATCTCTTCGTCTATCTAACTTTTCGCTGTCAAGGACGTGCATAATTTGTAAAATGTGTCTCTTTCTCTCTAATAATAGTTGTGTTCCAGTACTTTTTTAGTAGTAAAACTAGCAGAAGAGAGAACAGTTCGAAATGTCATTCTCATTTAGGTTTGCTCAAAAAATAAGGGAACGGAAAATTAGCAGAAATGCGATAAAATGTCAAAATTCAAAATTCCAAAAGTAAACAGCCTAAATCGGACTGGTGAAACCTTACTGAAAAGATCGCCAACATTTAAAAAATGAGTATTGAAGACGATAGGTTAAAATTAATAATTTATAATAATAATTAATAATCTGATTCCTCATTCAGCCAGTCCTCTTCACTGCTGGAATCATCCAAAAGTGAATACATCAGTTGCTCCATATTTTCTCTTTTTGTTTTTTGCACGACAAATATTAGTTTTTCCTTTAGTTTTCAAGTTGATCATTTTCTTTATTGAAATGTATCAATACATTTTTCAACCTTGTTAGCCCTGTGAATTAAATGTCAAATTTACAATATGCACATTTCTGCTCGGCCAAATTCATGTAGCTAAAACAAGCAGAAATGTGCACCACTCAGCGCCATTTTTTTCTCGAGAGAGCTGCAAGTTTTGCTAGTTTTTGGAGTACGGGAACGCGTTGTAGCAGAATTAGTGCTAATTAGTACTAATTTGCAGGTTCTGGAACACAACTAATATTCCTGTGTATGTATATGTTGTACGTTTCTTTGGTTTATTATTATGTCACGGTGACAGATGTTATGACATCTCTCTCTCGCTCTTCCTGTTACCCAACATCATCACCATCATCCAGCATCAAGAGAAATCATACTTTTTATGTGGCAATGAATGTATATCATCACCCCATGCTCATTTAAATCCAAGTGTATGTGGCACCCCGGCGTTTCAATTGTTATTCAATTTGTTTAATAAACATTTCGACAAAAAAATAACACGTTGACACATTCACATTTAGACACACACACACATGCATACCTGAGAAGCTACCGCTTATGTTGCACAATAAGATGAGGCGATTTATATTGAATATTGCGGAAAATTATTAGTTTGAGTCAAAATTATAGCCTATTGTTATACATATGTCAATGGATTTAAGGTAGAGGAATTGCTTTTCTCTAACTAAGTAAAATCATATTTACCAATACTTTAGAAAGAAATTGATGAAGCGGCTCATCGGGTTTCTGCAAGTCAGAGACTATAGACCAACTTGGAATGTCATACAGTTTTATAATGAAGAACCTATAATGGAAACCTTGAATATTTGACTTCGTCCAGTCACTAAAAACATTAATTAAGTTCCGGATCTACGTTGTAAAGAAATTTACCTTACAATCACATAATGTTTTGGCCACACTTAGTGGTAATTAAACGAATATTACCTTTTTCTGCAACTGCTTTGGCTCCTGCAGATAATGTTTAGCCGATGACTTAAGTCAGTAAAAACCGTTTTATGTATTCTCACCTTAAAAAAACTACCTAACAAAATTTGAAAGTCGGACGGATCGAGCTTTTTATATTCTTCACGTCCTTCCTTTCCTTAAGTGGAACTAGTTTCTTTGCTCCATTTAGTTCACACCATAGCATCAATAGTTCAAGCGTTCCTTTGATTATTTTTCTCCAATCGTTCGCCGGATTGAGATAAATGTTCATTGTGAATTTTGAATAATATCGTAGAAAATAATAAGAAAAATCTGAGCTGAGATAAAATAGCTAAATGAAGTACATACATTTAAGTATTTTATAGCGCATTTAGACGATTAAAGATTAACCCACTGGGTTTAATAGATCTAGTGGGTTAACCTTGCTTCTTTACGTGGTAGAAGAATACAGGTAGATGCATCAACGCATTGATATTTTAAAAATTTATTTCTTTTTTTCAAAAATAAGTAGATTTGAATATGTTTTCCTATACGATGCCAATCGGAGGTTCTTATAAATTTGAGTACTTATTCATTCAAAATTTTCGCTTCCAAAATTTTTTGACAGCCGTGTCGATGCGACTACCTGTATTCTTCTACCATGCTTGTTTATATAAACCACTCGAATCCAGGGGATTTTATTTTATATACAAGGTGAGATTAAAAAACTGCAACAAAGTCAAACGCCATAATTTTTACATGTTTTTAATTTTATTGAATGAAAGCAAATATGTCGGAAATAGCATCAAATTTTAGAATAAGTTTAGATTTGTTCGAACTGGTCACCTTTGGCACCAATTATGACCTTCGAACGACCAACGGATTGGTATCCGTAGATTTTGGTGGCCAATGTGCGCTGGAAATGAAGCGAGGAACCTAATTTTTTAACTATTCTTGGGTGGCGCGTGCTGAGTGCGATGGTGCTTAGCCCTGTTGGAATTTCCAAGGTCTGCGGCCAAAATGTTTGCGTGCTCAAGGCTTTAATACACCCTCTAGAAAATTTTCGCCATAATATTTGGCATATATTCTGATGCCACGGTCGATTAAGCGAGCAACGCCTTGGCTCTTTTGAGTCTATTTTCTCATAGTTGCGGGGTAAGTTCTTGCACTTTTTGGAATTTCAGTACCTTTACCCCGAGCTCATTTTTCAATATTTGCCGAATGGATTTTGCGATATGTTCAGCTCACGAGCCTTTTTTGGCAATGTGGCGTGGGTTTCGAGTAAGTCGCTTCTTTACTTTTCCAACCATTTCTGCTGATGTTGCTGTTTTCTTCCGTCCATTTCTTTGACATCGGGCTACGCTACCAGTATCACGGTAACGAGCGATGGTACGAGACATAAAATACTTATTCACATTTAAATCCTGGAGTGCTCTAACGATAGCCACTTGTGGTTTCCAGCCAAATATAAAGAAATCACACTATTACGCTCTAATTCCATCACGAATAACTTTTTTTTCTAGAAAATTATCACCAAAATGCTTTTGTACGCTTGTAAACAATATTATGAGCTGTCACTGGAATAATTTTAACAGCAGTCGGACGATTGGCTTAGATATGACAGCAGTCTAAATTTGGTTGCAGTTTTTTTCATCTCACCCTGTTTAAGCTAATTCACATTGATGACCATCTGTGAGAAAAGTAATGCCTTTTCCATAAAAGAAGTGTTATGATGATCGGATAGCAGAGTTGTGTTTCGAAGAATGGTACAATCGAAACTATAACCAACTCTTTCGCTGATCTAGTTCTTTTGATCAGAATAGAAAAAGGGATGAAGTTGTTTAGCTGGTTGAACCGTTCTAATAGTTCGAACTAATAGTATTATCAGCGGATGATGATCGAGTTGCAGAGTTGTGCAGTTGCGAAAAGAACTAGCTTAGATAAACTATTCTGTGAAATGTACAATCGAAACTACACCAACGCTTCCGTTGATCTACTTCCTTTAGTTCATGTAGTTCATTTTTTATATTTTTATAGGAAAATAGATAATTAAAACTTATCAATATTGTCCAATATTAGTAACAATAAATTATTGAAATTTATATGTAAAACAATGTTTAAACGTAGATTTACCGATGGTTTACAAAACGAATCTAAATTTGTATTATGTATTTTAGTTTGTTTATTTTATTTCACTCTTTTCACACGAAACGGGAAAATAAAAGAAAATGGTAAAATTGAATTGAAATGAACTAAGCAACTAGGTGAACTTCCTAGTTCCTATCATTGAACTAGATGGCACAATTCTATCTGCTTGAAAAGTGGAGCACAACAAACACGAAAATTGCTTTAGATTTGTTTTGGAAAAATTAAAATGTTTATTAAAAGTTCAATTCGTTATCAATTCCAACTAAATCTCTCCATCTTAATGTTCAAGTAAGCGATAGCAAATACATTTCACAACTAAAAAAAACCGTAACCTTTTTCAGCATGATCGAATATCTCCATTAGAGTTCATCGATACTCATTGAGTCATAGTTTTAACACAAACACTTTTCCATTCAATTACATACCCACATAATTATATTTTGTTTATATTAAAGCATGTTGACATTAATAATATCATGATTAACAATTTCCAACAAATATACTAATATTTATTTATTTTTTTGGCAAATGAAAATTACAGGCTGCGTTCATTTGGTGTTAAACCAATTTTGGATTATTCCGTTGAAGAGGATTTGTCCCAGGAAGAGGCGGAGAAACGTGAAGTTGAGTAAGTATCTATTATTTTGAAAATTTTACAGGCGACGACTTAGATGCGTCGAAAATGTTCAGCTCTATGAAAGATCTCTCCATAAACCTTTGTCGTTAGGCAGTGTGTAATTAGTTCAAAGCTTCGAGCTCTGTGACCTCTCATAAGTTTTGTTTTTATGTTTTCGTTAAATTATTGGTAATCTCTCTCTCTCTCTCTTGGTAATCTCTCTTTAACTACTATACTAAATTAGTTATTGGCAACATTAATACTAATATATAAAACAGAAGAAAAAGATTTGCCTGCAATATGTTAAGTATAAAACATAGTGAAAACCTAAATTTACTGCCCCTGAACTCGTCGAGAGGGCACATAGCTCGACATGTAGATTCTTTTTAACCCAATAAAAATTGATTTTCCGTTTTAACTTTTCAAATCAATGTCGACAAAAGTCGATATTTTAGTTTGTTGTGCTGCCAACAGATAATAAGATCGAATTTTGAATTTAATTTGTCTCACACGAAAAGTCGATCGAAACTCTATAATCTGAAAATCCAAAATCTATTACTCAATGTTAACTTTGAGATTTATACATGGCAGAATAATACGGCTAGATGGATCAACACTTGGGAACATTAATATGTCAAAAATCTTTAAATGTTTCTTAAAAATAAGTAGATTTGTATATGACAGATACAGTTCATTGTCCCAGCAGCTGTGTCGATGCGACTATCTCTATTCTTCTACCATAGATTTTTACCACTGTCAAATGTGGACTACGACTTTTAGATCAAAACTTTATTAATCGATCAATCAAAAGTCGACTTATGTATCCCTAAAACGAAATCATCTTTATGGACAATCAATAATAGCAATGGGAAGCAAGAATTCAGTTGAGAATCTATGTTTGTTTATGACAGAACCAAATTATCCGAGTTCGCTTAAACTTCGAACCGAAAGTCGGATGCGAATTAGGTCCGACGTCTGACCGAACGTTATATAGAGTGGTTGACGTGTTGTCAGACCAAAGCGTCGAATAAAAGTCGGAAGTTTTAGCCGAATTTCGAACCGAATTCGCATGGATACCCATGGGAAATTCGGAAGGGGAAATTAGTGCTGTCGGATCGAAGTAATATGCATTTCTATTTTTTTGTTTTTTTTTTTTTTGTAAAGTTCTGATGTACATATTAATGACAACTTTCATAACGTAATGACAAGAGCATGTCGAATATTCTTCAGGAATAACTGCGAAATGTGTATAAATACACATCGAATATTGTCCATGTAATAGAAAGACGAACATTTGCGGAAATTTTATTAAAATCTGGTATCAAACAATCACTTTACCTTCACTCCTCTTTAAACACTAATTGGTGAAAACATTTTTTAGCCCTCAGGGTTTTACATATGTGCTGTCACTTTTATTATCCATGTGTATTTCCGTGCGTATGTCAAATTTACTATTTTACATATGACTCATAATTCTTGCTATCACACACTTGAATATGATTTTTTATTTCATTTGGTTACACTGTCAAGTGAAATCGAAATCGTGTAGATTTCATTCGAAATCAGACTTCCGAAAACTCGCACGAATTCGAGAAAAGAGTGAAAATTGCCTCAAGTCGAGCGGATGCACGCTTGAATTTTGTCCCGAATAACTGTTTTTTTTTTTCTGCAAAATTCTCACCAAAATGCTTTTGTACGCTTGTAAACAATAGGTGTGTCTGGTTACCCTAAAATTTGTAACAATTGTTACAAATTGTTACTGGAAGTCGTCTGTTAACCCAAAAGTTCTGCAAAAGAGGGCGGTTGGAGAGAGAAATTTTGACAAATGTTTCAGTGAGAGTTTGCAAATTCTTGCTGGACAAATTTCTTCTAATAATCACTTACAACTATTCTTCTTCTCATTTATCGACACTCAATCAGATTTTTTCTAATGTTTGTTTATTTCTTTTTGTGATTTTAATTTGAAAATATCTTTTTGGAATTGGCAAGACTAATTGCTTTTGGAGAACAACTTCACAAAATGTGAAAAACGAAAATATTAATATGTAATAAGAAAATAAAAGACTATTTCCAACATTTTCGTATTTTTATTTTATTGCTAATTTCCTTTTTATTTATAAAACTTGTAAAATTGGTGATCTTCTTTTCTTTTAATTCTTTTAATGGGGGACATATTGGTTTGTTTTGACAAATCAGCTGATTGGTTGCAAGCTTCTACAGGAATACCGTCTGTTTACTTTTCGCATTTTGCTTGCAAAAGAGAATAAAACTAGCTTACTCTCTCAGAAAGATGTTGCTGGACAATTCCTGCAGGAAAAGTAACCAGACACACCAAATATAATGAGCTGTCACTGGAATAATTTTAACAGCTGTTGGTCGAGTGGATAAGAAATGACAGTAGTCTGCAGTTGGTTGCAGTTTTTTCATCTCAACCTGTATATAAAACTCCCACTTTTCGAGCAATGCCGCTCAAAAAAGCTTGATATAAATTACCGATTTCTTTGACTAAACGTTGAATGTATGACGAATCTTCGTAAAGCGTGTAGTTTAGGTGTCGGTGTAAAGCAAATATTAGTCACTCTTTAGTAAGTGACAATGAGCTATTTTGATGTGACCTAGTTTAGACCCTCCTTTTGGTGAATTGTTAATTGAATTGACAGCCCGTTGGTAATTCCATTGTAATTCCTTCTCTCTATAACGACTAATCAACCTTTATTATTACATTTTGAGAAGTCACTTTCAGAAATTGGAGCTTATGTTTCTTAGGAATATAAATTTATTACGTTAAAAAATGTTAATCCTAAAAATAATATACGCTATTTCTTGTTAATAGATCCTCAGTTTCAAGTGCCGGCGATGTTAAAGAAGACGATGCCATGCCCCAATACCATGTCGATAAGTCGTTTGCAGATCGTCGCTACAAGGTCAACAGTGCCAGAACCTATTTCTATTTGAATGAAGCTACATGTGAGCGTAACATGGAAACGTTCATTAAATGTTTGGAAGCTGTTTCAGGTAAATTAAATCAACACCAACTAACCTTCCGAAAACAAAAATAACAAAAAACACATTTTAACGAAAATAATAATAGGAAAAAACCCACACAGTACAAAAACAGACCCTCCTCATCAATTAGGGCCAATTAAAGTATAAATGAAATTTCAGTTGAGTGGCTGTGTGTGCGCTCGTTTAGCTTTCAAAATCTCATTCTAGAAATTGCATGCATTTAACGTTTTAATGTTAAATATTTACTGGTTTGCGATTAAGGGAATTGAAAGTTGGTTTTAAACATTTTTGGAGCAAAACATTTGTTTTGTTTGAGTAGCAATAGTTCGAATGTATGTATGTTTATAGCTAACAAATTGAAAAATGTTTTACGAAAAATTGATATTAAATTTCAAAAACAAATCCATAAAAAATCTTAAATTAAAAACAGACTGAACCGGGCTGAACTTTTAATACCCTCCACCATTTCGAAGGGAATTGAAACATTTCAAAAAAAAAGTTCCGAAAACTACCACTTAAATAAATGGGGACTATACGAAGACTTGGACCTGCATACGAAATTTTTTGTCATAGGCTGTAGTGCCCTTTACGAACTTCAAATACGAAATTTGTTACAATTACGGTGTATAATGTCGCAAAAATCATGAAAATACGGAGTATCGAGAGATATATGGAGGATATACGAAGATGTGGACCTGTATGCGATTTTTTGCCATAAGGTGTAGTACCCATTAAGATCTTTCATTACGAAATTTGAAACGATTTCGCTGAATAATGTTGCTGAAATCGTCAAAATATTGACTATCTGGAGGTACCGTTATATGGGGGCTATACGAAAAAGTGGACCTGTATACAAATATTTTTGTCATAGTCTGTAGTACCCATTACGAACTTAAAATACGAAATTTAAAATAATTTCGGTAAATAATGTCGCTCTAATACCGAATATCGGGAGGTACCGTTATATGGGGGCTATACGAAAACGTGGACCATTTACGAACTTAACCTGCCTACTGGTAAACTAGGTATGTATGCAAAATTTTAGTCTCCTATCTCAATTCGTTCGAACGATAGCGTGATTACAACAGACGGACAAAATTTTATGCTGATCCAGAATATAGGGTCTATTATGAATATTTCAAGGAGTTACAAACAAAATGACAAAGTTAATATATCCATAGAATGGTGGAGGGTATAACTATAGTATTGGAAATACTTGGCATCTAAAATGGCTTAAGGCTCTCATTCTGTTTAGCCCTTAAAGGTTTTTGGTTGACATTCTTCATAACAATAGCTTTCCTTTTAAAACCCTCATTCAAAACTAAACTATTTCAAAATCGTTTAAGAAAACAAGCATAGTGACAAGTCCTGCCTATCTTATTTAAAGTCCCTTATCATAATTTTGATTTATCCGCGCGAAAAAACTTCTAGGAAAGCTGCCAAGAAATTTATTTTACATTGTTTCAACATCACACCGGGTGATGCTGCTGTCAATGTAACTCGAATTAGCCAAAACAGAAATACGAATAACAAATGGCAAATAAAATCTCGTAAATAAACCACAAAATATTTGGCGAACATTTATTAGGACTTTGTTAAAATTTACGTGGCGCACAACTAATTTCATTCATCGCATATTCCTTATATATTTCTATATACGTACATATATGTATATCAATACGATATGGGCGTGTGTTCTCCCCCATCTATATACATATATATAATATACTATATTTAAATAATTTATTTTCGTTTGAGGTACAAGTGTCGTCTGCATTTGCTCGACACATATGTCAGTGTGTGTGTGTGTGGGAAAAAATCTTGTCAGCCGATTTTTGCCAGACCTCGATGCCAATGGCATCAGAACTCGTGTGACGATTGTCATCTGTTTTTCCTTTCATTTCGTAATCTTGGCCATTTGACAAGGCGAAAAATAGTAAAAGTAGAAGACAACAGCGAAAATCGAATAAGATATGAAATCGAAATGCAAAAGGAATGAAATAAAAAAAATACCCAAAGAAGCATTTGTTTTATGCTATACTTTTGTTTGTTCACATTTTTTGGCATTGATTGACAAAAGTGTCCACACTAAGCCAGAAAGTATGTGCTAGACTGTACTGGGCTTTATCAATACAATAGGTATGTGAAACAAATAGAATTAGGTTTGTTCGTTTCCATTTCTGAGAATATATTTTGAGGAAAATTTCAATTTAATTGGGGAAAATAAAATAGTTTCAATGGCTATAAATCCTCGCCTAGGATCTTGGATATTGATTCACATTACCAAGGTATATGTGCAAAATTATGCAAAGATTTCAATAAAGAAATGTGGCGTTCATTTTTTACTAAACAAATTTGGCAAAAACAATTAAAAAGCTGTAAGCTCGGCCGGGCCGAACTTTAAACACCCTCCACCATTTGGAACGAATTTGGCAATTCTCAAAACAATTAAATCCGTTAAAATTCTGTTAAAATCTTAAAAATACCGTATGTAGCTGTTATATTAGGGTCTATACGATGACATGTACCTGCATAGGTAACTTTTGTCATAAGCCATTACAATACTCAAATGAGAAACTTAACAAAAATCGGCGAATAATGTAGCTAAAATCATCAAAATACCGTTATATGGGGACTATACGAAGACTGTTATGGGGGCCCACACCATCACCATGGCCCGGGCTTGAGTTCTGGTGGCCAATCGAAGGTGCACATTTTCAGCTGACGTCTTTGGCAAGTAAACACGATCATTTTGTTTGTTTACAAACTGCTGGACAGCTTTCCCATCGGAGAAAACAAAATTCGGCATTTCACCACTTTCGGTCTTTTGCTCTTTTGAGTCTATTTTCTTTCTGTTGAGGTGTAAGTTCTTGCACTTTTTGGAATTTCAATGGCTTTACCCCGAGCTCATTTTTCAATATTTGCCGAATTGAATATTGCGATATGTTCAGCTCACGAGCCATTTTTCTGTCACTGCGACGCGGGTTTCGATCAAGTCGCTTCTTTACTTTTCGAATTGTGGGATTTGAACCGCGGCCCTCGGTGTGCAGCCAAGTAGAAGTTGCCGTCTCTACGTTCAGAGCCATTAACCCGTCTTCCTAAAGCAGCACTAAAACAAGCGTATGCATTGGAAGCAATGTAGTTGTTGTGGACAAAAAAATCCATCACTACAAAAACAAAACTTTGCTGTGAAAATGATCTGCCAATAGAACTTGAGTCGAACCTGGAGAGTTTCTAGTGTATAATTCGCATATGCTAATTTGCAATAAGTTCGAAATATACGCCCGACGACGCGGGTTTTCGAGACACAAAATATTTATTCACGTTTAAATGCTGGAGTGCTCTAACGATAGCCACTTGTGGTTTTCCAGCCAAATATAAAGAAATCACACTATCACGCTTGAATTCCATCACGAATAACTTATTTTCTGGAAAATTATCACCAAAATGCTTTTGTATTATTTGAAAACAATATAATGAGCTGTCACTGGATTAATTTTAACAGCTGTCGGACGAGTGGCTTAGAAATTACAGCAGTCTGAAGTTGGTTGCAGTTTGTTTTGTAAATTCAAATTCAAAATTAAAACAAAACTTTTGAATTAAAAAAAAAAAAAACAAGCAAGTCGGAATGGATATATTTTTATTGTTCCCAAATTCGATGAAGACCGTAAATGGTGGTCTAAAGCATGTGACGCTTATAATTTTTGGGCCAGGCATCGTACAATTTTCCAGACGGAGCTGCGTCCCATCTAGAAATAAAGGGATGTGCGAAATTTGAAGGCAACACTCTCTTCACATTTTATATGATTTATGATTCAAACTATTGAGGTTTTGTGGGGAGGAGCCAGAAGAACCGATGCCAGCAGTCTGAAGTTGTTTGCAGTTTTTTCATCTCAATCTATATATTGAGTAATAAGGTCTACAAGCTTATAGGTCGTTTACAGCGAATTGCCACTGGATTTGTAAACCTAGTGAATTTAAATTCCAATTCCATCACTAAAAGGTCAAATAAATCCCTATAACCCGGTAAAAGGCTCTAATGTAAACATAATGTTAGGCTAAAGAAAAAAATATATTTCCAATTTTTGAATTATCTACATAATTCTGAATAAAATAATATTCTTATGACAAATGCATTTTTTATATTTTTGGCTAATATAATTTGACCAAAGTGCATTTATAAACACATACATGCATCTGAAACGCAAATACGAAATTGTGTTGAATATCGATGTCTGATTTAGTCATTGTAGTGACAGATGCAAATTTTTTTTGGGTATATACTAGAAATATGTGTCTTATTTTTTCTTTTTTTCTGAAGATTTTTTTTTTAATCTTGACAGATTAAAATGACTTTTACAGTAGAATCTTTATATTTTGTACAAGCCGCATAAATGGACAATAATAGTATTTATGACAAAGGTCTGTTAAACAGGTCGTGTAAAACCAAAGCCGTTTGTTCATAAAACTATGAATACGATAGACTATTGTAATGAATTAGATCTTTACGTGATTTAGGCTATACAGTTTTATGTATTTTTAGCCCAATATGTTGGAGTACATGTAGATGTGTGTGCCTGTATGATAAGAGCATAAGTGATGATAACACTTCATGCTGCTGGATATCAATAATAAATAATATTATCCCATAAACATGCTGGGGATTAAATATAGATCACGAAAATTGTGTGTTGTGTCAGGCCTATGCATGGAATTAGAAATGTCAAGTGTTTGTAGTCTTAAGCAGATGCAAAAATCTAAACCCCCCCCTAAGATTTCTGTTGTGTCTTAGAACTTAAGTAATACATTTTGCTCAATAAAATTAGAATTAGACTGACAAACGATTCAACAAGTCTTATAATTGTATTCTCCTGTAAACATTTGGTCCTTCGAGCCGGATAGAGAATTGAATCAACAGCCAAACCATTCGGTTGTCTTTCTCTTTTAATTTTCACCGTTTCAATAGATTATTTACAATTGGGATGTCTGGTGACAACTCAGCGGAACTC